GCTGCGCGGCGTCTCACGGCCAGGGGGTGCTGGGGGCCCCGCTGCGGCCGGATCCTGCTTGCAGCTCGGTGTCTGTAGCACATGGTCCCCGGAGGCCGGACGAGAGCTCTGCTCCAGTTCTGCCAGCAAAGCATCTGCACGGAGAGACCCGGGTTGGGCGCTGGCTGCCCTCCCTGCCTCTGCACTCCCCAAGATGGTCTTCTGCCACCCCTGAAATCCCAGGAGCAAAAGTAGCCTCTCAGCAGGTTCTGCCAGCCAGGCACCAGGGCCCCGAGGGGCTGCGGTGGCACTGGGCGCCCTCCCCCAGACCCCGTCCCCAAGGCAGGGCGTGCCGGCCGCACTGCGCAGCCTTCCTGAACCGTGCGGGGCCGCCAGCAACGGGGGTCCTGCTTCCCCCACACACCATCTCTGGCTTATGGAGAAACATCTGCTAGCCCTTAAATTCATCCCAGCATGAGCCCCGGCACGGGAAAGCCAAACCCCGGTGCCTTCTGCACCCCCAGAGCGGCTCTTCCCACAGGGCGGGCAAAGCTCTCGCTATTTCCGCTTCTACCTCACCACCTTGGACGCCCCTCGGCATCTCGCTGCCCTCATGTCGGGGCACAGGGGGGACCCCCCCTGCGGCGCGGCCACTTCCCTGTCCCCGTCTCCCCCGGCCTGGGCTGGGGAAGACTCCCGACACCCTCAGACGTTGCGTGCAGTCAGCATGGCAGCGCTGCCGCAGCCCATTTCCTGCCTTCGCGTGCTCACCGTTTTCGGCCACCTGCTCCCCGTCTGTCCCCTGAGACAGGGGGAGGCACGGCAGGGAGTGCAGCTCCATTGCTGCCCCCTCTGCAGCATCCCCACCTGACCCCGAGGTAGAGGAAGGACAAGGCTCGCCCCAAGGCATGACCCTGCACCGAGCCTGGGCACAGGACTGGCTCTGTTGGGGCCCATCTTACCTAAATCCTCCATCCTGCTGCGGTGTGGGGTTCCGGTGTCCCGGGGCTGGCGCAGGGGCAGGGTGACGAGCTGGGCTGCGCCGGCTTTTGGTTCCGCTCTCAGCCTTGCCTCCGCCTCCCCCAGAGCTGGGGTTTGTCGGTCGGGGTTTTTCCTTTGTGGGTTGTGCGCTACACAGCACGTGTGACGGGCAGCAGGCAGAACGCGGTGGCAGAGGATGGGGCAAGAGCAGCCAAGAGCAGCCCTGGTTTGGTGCTGGAGAGGGAAGAAACTGGCCAGCAGGTGGTCCAGGGAGCTCCTACTCCTAAAATCATCCAAGCTTCTTGGCTGGAAGCTGGAACATGTGTGTTCTGCAGACCCAGGCCCTTTCCAGAAGCCACCGGCTGCATGTGATGGGGGATGGCATCCCCGCAATAGACAGAAATCCATTTGAGACGGTGTGATGGAGGCAGCCACCGGACCCGCAGTGCCAGCATGCGCCAACAGAGCTTCGCCTTTTGGAGGGATGCTTCTGGAGCACCGTCTTGGATTTCCAGGTAACGGCACATCCCTTTGTGTCCCTTAGAGCCAGCGTGAGCACAAGGACTTGGCTCACTGCAGCAGCGCAGGCGGCAGTGGCGCTGCTGAAGCTGTGGCTGTGCTACGCTCTCCCTGCACTAACTTGGGGCCACTTAAAAGCTTTGTAGTGCCACACATGCGGCTGCCGGGCACAGCTCAGCCCTGACGCTACACGTGTCGGGATACGCCTGCTCGGTGCGTCACTGCCGGCCTGGCATGACACCCAACAGCACACGGGAGCCGCGATCTGTGCTGCTAATTTGAGCGATTGACCCGCCATTGGGACTTTGCTTCGCCAGAGCCAGACGGCTCTGGCCTGCGGGCACCCCACGCAGCCGTTTCGGGCCGTCAGCCCACCAGAATCGGTGTGTGGGGGCAGGAGCAGCGTGGGCGTTTCTGGCGGAGACGCAGACTGCGGTGGCAGCCCCTGAGATGCCGGCACGGTTCCCTCGCTGTTCGGGACCACAGACCCCCAAGTACTGCCATTATCCTCGGTGCCTCTGCCAACGCCTGGCTCCCGTGAGGGTGATCTAGTGATTTTTACAGCTTGGCTTTTTAGCAGAGAAATCTTTTGGCACCGCTGAGGGCAGCCAGTGGGTGTTGGAACAGCTCCAAGGGACGGGTTAGTAATCTGAGGTGGGGGATGAAGCGGAGGCTGCTGCAGCGGAGGGAGGGAAAGAACTGGCGTATTCGTTGCACCAGTGGAGAGGGCAATGGCAGGAGATGGCAGTGCAATGCTGCCTGCAGTCGAAACATGCCCCAGACCTGAGCTGTCCACGTCTGGGATGACACGGTGGGGGAGCGTGGCACCAAGATGCCCCCCCTGTCCCACCACAACCCTCCGGCTCCAGTTTCTCCCCCAGAGCTGCTTTTCCAACCTGCTGCGAAGGGGTTTCCCCCCACGCTGCTGCTGGTGCACTCCCCCTCGCTGGTCTGTCATCCCATCGCAATGCCCCTGCCCCACTCTCATTAGAGCCCGGTGTGGTGATTAATCCTAGATGGCGTATGCAGGGGAGCTTCATGTGGCTTGAAATGTCCTGTGTGCTCTTGGTTGGGTTTTTGGAGGAGGCATCACCTTGTAGGCACATGGGCAACATCTCTGACACCTCAGCTACCAGCCCCACCAAGCCTGCAGGCTTCACTGCGTCCTCGCTGGGCTCCTTCTGAGTTTGGGCTACTCGAGGGTTTCCAGGATGCTATAAAAGCCTTGGGAACAAAAGTTACAAGCCACGCAGCCAGAACCCATGGCTCCCAGCTGCTCCTCCTGCGGGTCTGTGGCACTTCTTGCAGTGTTTCACCTCTGCCACACCTCCCACACCGCTCTCCTGCCAACCCTCCACTTCGTCCCCAGGGAAGTGGCTTATTCAGAAAAAAACCCACCATTCCAGATAAAGGCTCAGTGTTTTCCCGGCAATGCCAGGTGAGAGGAGCCCCAGTTCTGTGCACAGCTTCATGCCTCACCAGGAGACTTTCAGGAGGTCTTCAAAGAAAGGGCTGCAATCAAGCACTGTACTGCCTCTAGATGTGTGATTTGCCACCAAATGGCCCAGAAACACAAGACGTGGCTGCTTCAGGAATATTACTGATCCTGGGGAAGGAGAGGGTCACCTCAAGGCCCAGTGAAAGCGTCTGGCTCTCCATGGCAGCAGACCAGCGGGACGCAGACATCTGTTGGCACTTGGAAAAGGATCTGCAGAGGGGACCTGTAAACCTCCTCGTGGGCACCCGCAGGCTCTGCCGACGGTGGGGCTGAGCCTGCTCCTTCCATGTCCATCCCCTCCATGAGTCCACTGACCCCCGGTGCAGCCGAGCAGCACTCACTGCACAGGGCGAGCTGCTGCCATCTTGGCCACCCGCTCTCACACGTTGCCGATCCCATCGGCACCACCAGGGTGGAATGGGGTCGAATTAAGCCCCTTTCACTTCATTACTGACACTCCACATAAGTGACTGCTCCTTTGTAACCTGCTGACGGCAGGGACGTCCAGCAGAGCCCCACCTCCGGAAAGGCCACGCGGACGCTGACCCGTGAGCCCCGGGATGTGCCTCAGGACAAGCAACGCTGAGAGCCACCCAAAAGCCAAGGCGAGGAGCTGCTTGTATCACTCCCCGATGGCCACTTTGAGACAGGATCCTTGCGTCAGCCACTTCCCTTTCTGCAAATAACAGAACCTTCCTGCCTGCGGAAGGTTTGGGGTTATTTTTAGATTTCTCAGTGATTTGCTTTCCCCCTCCAGTGATAATGTGAGCCCCGGGGTAAACAAGTATCTGGAGCTCGAGCTTCATATCATAAAATTTGCCGTTAAAAAACACAAGCCCAACAGATGCAAAGGGCTGAGCTGTGTCCTGATCTGAGCTGTATTTCCGAGCAATGGTTTAGCCAACCTATTTTAACAAGAAGTAGGCAACACCATGCCTCGCCTACCAAGGAGAAATCAATCATGACAGCGACTTGAGAATAAATTCCCACATCGAGACTCTCTAGTTTGAAATAGAATTGATTTTATTTAAGAATAAATGCACAGTCATTTCATAGCAGAGAATATGGGTTAACTGCAGCAGAACAGTGATGTCAATCAGTTTTCCAGGTAGACAACTCCTTGGGGAAAGAAAGAATATTTTCAGCCACTTACAATACAAACAGCAGTAGCAGACGTTACTTAAAGTCTCACTGAGATTTTCTTCTTGAGAAGAGAGAGAAACACTTCAATTGAAAGAAAACTAACAGATTGACATTGGACACACAAAAAGCAAGTGCCAGCCAAGCCATCTCTGTGCTGACAGCGAGCCTCCGACCACTCAGGTCACCGACTCCAGAGAAGGTTTGTACCTCACCTTTAAAAAACGACTCTGCTGAGAAAGCATGCTGCCACCGCTTCTGCAGGAGGCTGAACCGGCAGCCTCCTGCCTTGGTCTGGAAGGGAGAGAAGGAATCCCCATGCGAGTATGTCAAACTTTTCTGGTTCTTTAACTTTCCCATTAGGAAGTACTCCTTCTCCCCACGGCCTGGTGGCTTTGCCAAGTGGAATCAGACCGTACGCGCTTCTCCACAACAAGATGGTTTATTAGAGCACTCTCAGGAACCGAGGAATGGAGATTTGGACACACTTTTGTTTTCTAGTCATACATAATGAAGCTTAGGACTTGAAACTCAAAAGCAGGAGGAAATAAAAGGCAGACCGCATCATCTCACTAATGGCTATCAGTTTACCAAACATGATTTACCAGCTGAACGCCTCGGGCTCTTTGAACCCCCTTTTATTTTTGCTGTCTGCAAAGAGGGGATGAAGAGCACCTCGTTCTGCTACTGCGGCAGGGCACCCTTCCCAGAAGGGCACTGCATCCCCTTGAAACAAACAGTGGACGTGAAAGCCGGCTTATGCAGAGGAGCTTTCCCCTTCCCAACCCCGCTGCGGGGGGCCGAGGGACAGTACACTGACCTCAGGAGGCGCAGCGTGGCCTGCCTTTCTTTGGCTCTTTGTAAAGTGGCTTCCACCTGTTCCCCAAAGAGATTCTCCCCTGTGTAGGGTAAGTTCTCGAGTTTTGTTTGGACCTCCTCGTGGAAGCTGGAAGCCTGCAGCCAAGCAGACCGCCGTGCATCCACCCCCGAGGCAGCGGCTCGCGCCACCGTATCCCCTGTGTCAAAGGCTGCGTGCACCTGATGCCTGGCCAGGTCTGCGCCCTCGAGAACGACGGCCTGGAAGGCCTGACGCTGGTCCTGCGGAAGACGCTTTGCTAGTGCAGAAACTTTCTTCCAGAGCTCAACTTGACCTCTGGCCATGTAGACTTGATAGTCCACGACACGAAGGGCTGCAGCTGCTGACTGGTAAACCCTCTGGCCAAATGCATCCAGGCGCCGCAGTTCCGCGTTTTGGGGTGCAGTACCGTGCTCCTGGCCCACCTTCTCCCTCGCCATTGCTGCCTCCACTACCGTGCTCTTGTGTGCGGGTTGAGAGACGTAACCGACCGCATCCTCGGGGAGGATGTATTTCCTCTCAATTTCCTTTGATACAGGAGGAATGGTGTGGGGTGTCTGCCACACTTTCTTTACCAGCTTGTCCAAGATAGGATGCAAGGGCATGGCAACTCCTTTGCAGGAGGGATCCAGACACCGATCAACGAGACTCCCTGTCGACTCCTGGAATGGAATTAAATTAAATCCAACCAGTCTAGCCAATCTTTTCAAGAAGTGGGGGAAAGATGGATTTTCTGATGTGGAAGTATTACCCTCTTGTTCTTCTGCTCTAAAATGGTAGGTAAGATCAGCCAAATCATCCTCTCCAGAAGAATCATAGCAACAACCCTCATCCCCAAACGCCTCACCTGGCGTCCAGCTGGATGAGTCACAACCCCCTGTTGGCGAGGTGGGGTGAGGGGACACTCTGTCACAGGGGGATGATGGCGGCTGTTCCGAGACCGTTGGCAGCAGGGGCGTTTGACTTGAAGTAACTGCTTCATCCAGTAAGAGAGACAACTCTTGAGGTCCGGAGGACATCCTTGATTCCAAAAGCATCCCGGCTGCGCTGGAGCTCACCAAAGGACCTGTGGCAAGTTCTGGAGGTGGCTCTCTGGGTCTTGAGGCCGCTTCAGCAATGAGGAGGATGGACCTGGCCAGGTCTGAGAGGACACCCAGCCACTGAGATTCCCCAGATTGTGGTTCCAGTCCTGACACTGAGTGCAGGGGATGGTGTGGAGACTGGGACACAAAACTGCTTGAAGGTGGTGGCTTCAGCGCTCGTGGGCTTGAAGCTTTTGGGTTCTGTTTGGTTCTTACACGACAGTGCTTCTTCTGCGGGGAGTGTATGTTGTCAGGTACCACAAAACTTTTGCTTTGGGGAGGTAAATCAGGTTTTGGAGACGTTAACAGCGGGTCCTTCAGCAGAGCTGCACTCCCAGGCTCTGTGGGAAGGCACAGCGGGGCTGTGGGCTGTAGCGCTGGGTCGGAGCCCTGGCTACGGGCAGGGAAGGCAACCTCATGCCGGCGCTTGGTGGATTTCCCCTTTGCTGCCCCACAGCTCACCGGGTGCAGGTCCGTGCCACCACCGGGCCGAGCCTGCAGCAGGGCGCGGAGGTGCTGCCAGCGAAGGCGGGCGGCGTAGGGGGCCATGCCAGCACAGGCCCCGCAGCCCTGCGGGTCGTGGCCCACTCCCAGGCAGAGGACGCAACGCTCGTGCTCGTCTGTCACCGAGATCCTGCGGCCGC